TCAAGATTGGAACCCAGGTCTCCTGATTCCAAGTCAACCACTGTTTCCATCATAGTATACCATGCTACCTCTTAACAGGAAGGAATACCCAAAGCCTTTTCTATCAAGAGTACTTCCATTTCCAGAACACACCTTGAGATCTAGGAGCATTTTCAGGATATCTCTCTAGGTCTTTAACATAGGAAGATCAGACTTTTCACTAGAAAGATGCCCAAGAATTTTTAAAGCACAGAAGTGGAGGCAGTGGAATGCCCTGATAATCCTCCTATTGGTCCTTCCCCAAGATCCATCTCCTTATAAGCACCAAGTACCATTTGCAAATCCCTATAGCTGTGATTTTCTCTGCATTTGGTCATCCTTTCATTAAGTCCATTAATGAGCATTTATTAATTAAGCCTATCATGCTAAGCACTGGGGATAAAAAGAAAGGCAAAAGACAGTACCTCATTTAGTTATATAGCCTGTAGAAACAAATAACTATATGGAAAAGATGATCATCAATTGAGGACCTTAAAATGGTTTTCAGGGCATCAGTCAAGAGAATTTATGGAGCATCCATGATTTGTTGAAACTATCCTAGACACTCAAGAGAGATAGACTAGAGATAAAAACCATGATTCCAATCCTTTAGGAACATACATTTTAGTAGGAGATATACAATATACACGCTGGTGCTCGTTTTGTTCATGTCAAGAGTGCACACATATTTGAACAATGTGGAATGGAGTGGTCAAAGGAGTAGGTTTAATCTAAAATTTGGGAATGAATGTGATATAAAAAGCAAAGGCATCAATGAAACTGAATTAAAATTCTGCAAGAATTCCAATGAGAGACCCTGAGGCTATGCTTGAGGCTCTGCCCTTCCTTTTCTGGCTGGTGCCAAATATGGGGAAAATGCAGGGAGGGCACAGGTATATGTAGCAGGAGGCTACAGCTGTAAGGGTCACATCATTTTGTTTTGTTACTTTTTCTAGCTGTCACTGCTTCTGGTTGCTTGGAAAATAATGGCTTTATTTTTTCATTTTCCTCCTTTTCTCTTTTGGTTGACTTTTATTTTCTTGTGTTTTTTAAGCTGATTTTCTTCTTTTGCCGTTTTTCCCCTTTGGAAAACTCAAGCATCACTGGAACAAAACAATTTATCCCAAAGGAGAGAAAGAGGAGAAAGTGTCAGTCTGTCTGTCTCTCCTTGGCAGTGGGACGGGAAGTCCTTTGATGATATTTGACCCATGAGCTCCAGGTGGAAACTGAAAAGATTTTTTTTTTTCTAGGAAGACATAGGAGAGAAACTCAACAATGGTAGAAGAGCATATTAGGGAAGAAGTATAGAAAGCTTATCAAGACACCATATATGATAATAATTAATGACTAGGATTTATATAGTGCCTTAGGGTTTGCACTTTACAAACACTATCTCATTTTATTCTTTCAGCAACCTTGGTAGATAGATGTTAAATTATCCCTATTTTACAGATGGGGAAACTGAGGCTAAATGACTTGCCCCAAGTCACACAGCTAATAAGCATTTAAAGCTGGATTTGATCCTTACCTCAAGTCCAGTGCCTTCTCCACCAAGCTACCTAGCTATTCTTAAGAAATTCACAGAATCAAGGGAGGTGCTTAGGGGTTTAAAATCACAGATCCTTAGGTATGGCTCTGCCATCTTGGAATAAGAATTTTACACAGTGCAGAGTTTCTACTCATTGTTTGTGGTCAGTGGATAATTGCTAACTAAAGTGATGCTTCAAAGAAATAACCAACTGTTGCCATTTAATAACTTTTGAATTCTACTGTGAGATGCTTCATGCTTTTCTTTGTTGGCTTTTTGATCTAAAGTCTCAATCTCTTCAGAACTGCAGCAGGAAATTTAGATTTAACCTCAAGAGTCAGTGTTTTGTCTTGTGTCTCCTCTAATCTAATGCAGATGTTAGAATGACTATATTTTACTTGAGATTTTATTGAACTTCTGTCTCAATACCCCCTCTTTTTAATAGAAAACATAGCTTAGCTGCAGTGCTCATTAAACTCAGAAAATCCCGCAAGCGGTAATTTTGAGAATGTATACAAGTAGAAAAGAGAATATTTAGGTTCCCTCTTTGGAGTGCAAGTCTTTCAGCTGCCTCATTATTTTAGGGAGAGTTTTTCCATTTCAGAAAAGGAAAGGGAAAGATGAATAAAGTAAGTATGTTGACAAAGAAATCCATGTCAAAAACTTAGAGCACTCTACTGCCTAAATACAGATTGTGTGAATACCTCCTTTCGGCAACCTGTGGTCGAGCCAGCAGGAGAGGTGGAGGTCCAACTGCTTCTTCTAGTACAATTCATTCCAAGTTCATGATACTTCTGCTTTCCATTTTTTCCTATCCACTAAGTCCTCTGAAATGGTAAAGTTTCATATCAAGCAGATTAAAATAGGTCCTCCTCTACCCTATGTAAATCACTTTATTATTTCAGGAAATCTCTAATTTCCATCACTTCATCTTCATAACACATAGTTGATGGATAGATCAGTTGAACAGGGAATAACTGAATCTCTGTTGCACCTAATGAAGTCCAGTTCCTAAGGGCAAAGTGCTGTCAGGAAGATTTGGAATGAAATGTCAACATAGAACAAAGCAATCTGAGCTTTTTAATCCACTGCAAATTCATTTAATAGGCAAAATGCTGCTATAGCATGCACACACAACTCAGTTGAATTTGAATTTAAATGCTTTTCTGTCATTTGCCAGTGTAGACCCAAAAGAGGGTACAATTATCAGTACATTCTCCAACTTTACAAGGCAAAAACGTTAATCCATTGATTAACGATGCACCTTGTTTCTCATTTGGAAAGATATAAAACATAAATGGGGACATTATTTTTAGAGAAATTTAAAGCAATGTGGTGAAGGGGAAAGAACTGTGGATTTCTATCAAAACATTCAGGTTCAAACTAATTTATTGTTTGATACTGGGTAATTCAGTTAGCCTTTTTGACTCTCAGTTTCTTCATTTATAAAATTAGGGGCTGGAAATAAACAATGGCTAAAGTCCTTTCCACTTGCAGAATTATATGGTATACTTGGTTTCAGATTTTCTTGTTTTCTTCTCTTGATGCTAAAAACTAGCCTAATATCAGTCTTTTTAAGAAAAAAATAATTTTTAAATTTTAATTAAATTTACATTTTTCTGTCCTGATCACAGAATAATGGACTGGTTTCTGAATTGTTGATCCTGTTGAGTGGCTACTTCATTTGGAACTTCTGATCCTCCTATGTAAAATAGGGATAACACTTTCATTACCAATATCACCTGTTTGTAGACGATATTGTGCTAGATTACATCAAACCCCAAATGGCTTGTTCAGTATGATCCCTAATTACTCAAAAGAGCTCAGCCTAACAGTCCATCAAGGTAAAACTAAATGTGTGAAAAATGTTTATTGGCCACTCTGTGATATGCACTTGGAAGGCAAGTCCATCCAATTAGTCCATCAGTACATAGGCAGATGGACAGTGAGTTGAGCCCAGAATTAAATAAGAGGAAGAGAGTGGGCGATTACACTTGGGAAATTATGTAGTTCTTTTAATGCTCCCAAGCTGCTTCCTGGCACAACAGCCTATCTTTTAAATTTTTAAATTTTAAAATTTTTCAAATAAACACAAATGTTCTCTGGGTGATGTTATGTGTCTGTGAATCTTGAAACACGACACACAATCCCTGAACTATCAAAATCAGGGCTGACCCTTAGGTCAGTGGCACAAGAAGGTTGCAGTTTATTTCCAATGATGTTTTATTTTTATTGTGTCCAATTCTCCATGACCCCATTTGGGATTTTCTTGGCAAAGATACCAGAATGTTTGCCATTTCTTTCTCCAGCTCATATTATGGATGAGGAAGTGAGGCAAACAGGGTTAAGTGACTTGCCCAGGGCCCTACAGCTAGTAAGTGTCTGAGGCTGGATTTGAACTCAGGTCTTCCTGACTCAAGGACCAGTGCTGTATTTACTGTGTCACCCCTCCAATGATGACCTACATGCAAGTAATACTTCATTGAGGAGGTATGATCTAAATAGGAGGTTGTGGTATACTAAGAGTGAAGGAGAATAGACAGCCATGGCATGTTAAAAGATCTCAAAGGAGGTCTCTGGCCTTTTGGGTAAAATCCCCTGTGGAGGATATATGAAGGAAAATGAACAAGAACAGCACAGAATGAGAAGCTGTGGATGGGTGAGGATGTAGGGAGATTTCACATGGATGAGATCTCAGATCTATTGAAGTAGACCTACCCCAAAGTTCTGAATTAATATAAATGTCAAAATGTTGGTTATTTTTAGAACAATTTTTCAAATTTTGTCCATCATTTGACAGTCAGCCTGCTGTCAGCTGATACAGTTGTCTGCGTTTGCATGAATTTGGTCATCATTCATAGAGGCAGCTAAATGGCAAGGTTGGATAGAATACTGGACTTGAGTCAGGAAGACCCGAGTTTAAATCCTTCCTCAGATATTTGCTAGTCGTATGGCCCTTGGCAAGTCATAATCTTAGCTTTAGTTTCCTTAATAATGGACCTACCTCACAAGGTTGTTGTGAGGACCAAATGAGCTAACAGTTGTAAAGCACTTTGTAGAAATGCTAGCTCTTTATTATTGTTGTTATTATTATTATTGTTTGGAATCAATTCAGCATTCAAAATCTTCCTCAACTTGAGTGAATGCAAAATCTTGACAGCAATGTATACTTTTGGGGGAAATTTCAACTCTTGACATATGTGTTCATCACAAGGAAAAATGGGTAATTAATTTAAAAAATCATTGCATTCAAACCATTTGTTTCCTGGCACCATTTCCAATGCTGCTTTACTTGAGCCATTCATGAAGCTGGCAATGGAAGTAGGATTGAAGCCCCCTTGAATTTACTTGTCAGATAGCAGAGTGTTTCCATTATTATCATTGCAGTACAGGCTTATTCTCATGGGAGCTTAACAATAAATGACCATTCATAAATCTTCTGTCTGTTTTCCAGCCTGCAGCGTTTTCCTTTCTCTCCCACAGACGTTCTACAACATCTACACGTAAGTGTGCTTTTTAAGTTAAAAGATAGTAGGAGCTCAGATGAAAACAACAGCTTATGTCCCAATTGATATCCTAAACAAATTGAGCGCATTATACATGGAGCTTGGGTGTTCAGCAAATATTAATTGAATTCTGGCCTTTTGTGTAGTGGATTTGGACATTTCATTGAGGTGGATTTGGACATTTATCCATGGATGTTCTTCTGTTGTCAAAATGTTCAATTCTTTGACATGAGAGCCTCTTTTTGAGATTGGGGTGGGTGGATCATTATGAGAGATCATGTGGTGTAAGTGGAAACAGTGTGAAATTTGGAGTTGGAAGTGACCTGAGTTTGAATTCTGCCTCTTTATTAGTCAGACATATGATGATGGACAAGTCATTTAATCTCTGAGTCCCACTTTCCTCATCTGTTAAATAGGGGTGTAGTAATAGCTATAATATCTCTCTTGTAGGATTCTTATGAGAATCTCTGAAGAGAATGTTTGTAATGCACTTTGCAAATCTGAAATTGCTATATTTTCTCACTTATCATTTTTATATTTCTCTTTATAGTTCGTATATAGCTAGATGTCATCAAACTTAGTCCTCATTTTTAGCATGTCCTCACATATATTTGTAAAAATGAATCTGTTAAAAATCACTAATGAATAGTACTGTTTTATCTAGTGATTCAAAATATTCTACTTGTTTCTCCGTGTTAACATGGTACAAACTTAACAGCTTATTTTGTGTGTGTGTGTGGTTGTTTTCTATGCCTTTATTTTTGTTGTTGAATCCTCATATTTCAGTACACATGGAGTGGTTTAAAATTCTGACAAAATAGAAATTATCCTAGATGTTTGATAGGTGCATCTCATGAAACTGCAGACAGGCTTCATATTCTCAAGAAATACTCGCTCTGAGGAATTGAGAAATATGAAGGATGTCTTGAAGCTCTTTTTTTTCAACATTTTCAACATTTTTTTCAGCAAACATATCAACAAACATTTAAATTGGATACTGTTCTTTTTTCAGCATAGGCACCTTCAGAAGTTAGACACTTATTTCCAGGAATGTGGCCATTGTTTTAAAAATTTGTGGAATTGCCTTTAGAGTTCTTTGAAATTTGTGGATTTGAGCTTTAAAAGCAATACAAAAGTTTAGAAAGGTTATTTTGTTTCAGTCACATCTGACTCTTTGTGACTCCATTTGGGGTTTTCTTGGCAGAGATACTGGAGTGGTCTGCCATTTCCTTCTCCAGCTTATTTTACAGATGAGGAAACTAAGGCAAATAGGGTTAAGTGACTTGCTCAGGGTCACACCGCTAGGAAGTGTCTGAGACCGGATTTGAATTCAGGTCTTCCTGACTCTAGGTTGGCCACTCTATTTACTGCACCACTTAACTTCCCTGATACAAAAATTACTCAGATAAATAAGATGGATAATCTCAAGCTCAGTAATACTGTTTTGGGTAAAATATGAGTTGTGATTTTAAAATAAGAAAGCTAATATGTATCAGCACGTGTGTTTTTGTGGGGAGGTGTAAACCGATGGGCGAACTGAAGAGGTAGCACCAAGTTTGAGGAGTAGCAAGAAGGAGGATAGTTTAGCTCAGGGGTGGGGAACCTGTGGCCCTGAGGTCACCTGTGGCCCTCTAGTTTCTCAAGTAAGTCCCTTTGACTAAATCTAAACTTCACAAAACAAATCCCCTTAATAAAAGGATTTGTTCTGTGAAGTTTGGATTCAGCAAGGGGCTGTCACATGGTCACATGGGGCCACAAGGCCAAAGGTTCGCCACCCCTGGCCTAGCTCCCCATCAGAATTTCTCCACAAAGATCTAGAAAATGCACAAGAATGAGTCCTGTTTTGGAATTCCAAGGAAAAAAAAATCAGAGTGGGTCATCTTTCTAGCTTAGACTGGCATAGCAGAGACAGACAGATCTATGGACACTGGAGATAGTTTAGCCAGGAGAATGTTTCACAGAACATTCGTGTGCAGCTATTAAAAGAAGCCCTAAAATGTGGACCACTGCAGGGAGAGTTCTCAGAGCCACGCAAAGGGGCCCAACCTTGTGCAGGATGAAAGAATAGGTACCAGCTGGTAGTTCTGTTGCTCATTCTGGGTCATTTCTGTTGCTCAGTTCTGGGTCACATATCCAGGATAAACTGAGGAGGGTACCTGTGCCTGGGGCTGGCATTATAGTAAGTAGAAGTCCCAGGCCTTAGGCTGGGTACTGAGTAAAGATCAAGTTCAGACCCAAGCAGCTGTTGTGTTATTCTGCCCCCAAAAGCAAAGCAAGGTCTCAGTTTTATCCCCCCCAGCCAAATCTGAAACCTGGAGGGGAATAACCAGGGCAGGAATCTCAGACCAAAAAAGAGCATGCAATTAGGTCACTCTGAACCATCAGAACTTTCTAGATGGCTCATGGTAGTTAGGACCTGCAGCAGGCTACAAGTAAATACTCAGTAGACAATTTATTAAGTGCCTACTATGTGCCACACACAGTGCTAAATGCTGGAGATACAAGGAAAGGCAAAACACAGTCTCTGCATTTGAAGAGCTCATAGTTCACTAGAATGGCACCAGAGGCAGGAACACAGGTATGTTGCTCAGACCTCAACCCAGAGTAGGGATTTGTAGGACTCAGATGAGGAGGGCTGTGATCAGATTTTGCCCTCAATCAGACTACTTTGGGAGCAATGAAAGCTTGTAAGCCCTCAGCCTGAGCTATCTCTGAGATACTGGAATAACACAACATTCGTATCCTCAGAAAAGCCACAAGAGGACCCAAGATGTCAAAAGCTAAATCCAGAGATCCCCTCCAAAAGTTCACAGAGCCTGGTCCTAACAAAAAGTTTGAAGTCAGAAAACAGCCTGGAAGAATGAGCATACAATAAAGAATGTAGAAAAAAAAACCTTTTGACAAGATACTGTATCCATTCTTTTTAAAAACACTAGAAAACATAGGAATAAATGAATCTTTCCTTAATATAACATAAATCTGGGTCTCCCATTGCATCCTGCGCTATCTCCAGTCATCCTGATCGATATCTGGTCACTGGACCCACATGGCTCTGGAGGAGAAAGTGAGGCTGGTGACTTTGCCCAGACCTCCCTTCCTTAAATCAAACTCAACTGCAAGTCATGTCATCTCCCTGATGTCATGGTCCTCTTCAAGAAGGAAGGACAAACCACAACCACAACATAAATCTATCTAAAACCAAGATCAAGCATTATCTATAATAATGGGGATAAATAAGAGGCTTTTCCAATAAAATCAGAAATAAAGCAAGGATGCCCATTATCACCAGAATAGTGCTAGAAATGCTAGCTGTAGCAATGAGACAAGAAAGACAAATTGAAGGAATAAGCATAGGCAAATAGACAAAATTACCACTTTTTTTTTTTTGCAGATGATACAATGGTTTAGAGAACCCAAGAGAATCAACTAAAAAACTAATTGAAACAGTTAACCATTTCAGCAGACTTGCAGGATATAAAATAAAACAATGTAAATCACCAGCATTTCTGCATATTACTAACAAAAGCCAACAGGAAGAGATAGAAAGAGAAATTCCTTTATAATAACTACAGAAAGTATAAAATATTTGGAAGTCTACCTGCCTAGACACATAGTGTCTAGAGTATATGAATACTCTATAAACACTCTTTGAACAAATAAAGACAGATTAAAATAATTGGAGAACTTTTAATTGCTTATGGTAGGCTGAACAAATATAATAAAAATTATAATTCTACTTAAATTAATTTAATTATTCAGTGCCATAACAATCAAATTACCAGAGGATTAGAGTAAAAAAAATGATAACATAATTCACCTGGAATAACAAAAGGTCAAGAATCTCAGGGGAAATAATGAAAAAAAGTAAGAAGGAAGGGGGCCCAGCACTACCAGATCTCAAACTATGCTACAAAGCAGTAAATTGAACAAGTTGTGGTCTATGATTATTACGGAATACTACTGTGCTATAAGAAATGATGAGCTTGGGGCAGTTAGGTGGCGCACTAAGAGCACTGGCCCTGAAGTCAGGAGGACCTGAATTCAAATCCGGCCTCAGACCAAACACTTGACACATATTAGCTGTGTGACCTTGGGCAAGTCACTTAACCCTGATTGCCTCACTTAAAAAAAAAAATGATGAGCTCAATGATCTTAGAAAAACATGGAAAGACTTGTATGAAATAACAAAGACTGAAATGAGCAAAACCAAGAAAATATTGTATACAATAATAGCAATATTGTTTTAAGAATGAGTGAATAAATCATTTTAACTATTAGAAGTACCCAAATTAACTATAAAGGATAAATGAAGAAAGATGCTATCTGCATCCAGAGAAAGAACTGATAAATAGAAGTATGTATGGAATAATTATATATATGTGTATATATGTTTGTATACATGTATGTGTATGTATATATGCATGTATGTATGTATATGTGTGTATATATTATATACATGTATATGTATATACATACACAACTATTCATGTCTAATGGTAGCCATGGAGGGGGGAGGAAAAAAAAGAGAAAAAGAAAAACATTATGTATACATTTTATATATATACATATATAAAAATTTATTATATATGTATAAATAGAATAGCAAGTTTTACGTGATAGATTTTCAGTTTCATGTGCAATCATTTTTTTATTATACTATGCTATGAAAATGCCTGTTTTATCCCATAAATTAAAAATAAAATAATTAAGAATGAAAAAAAAGAATTTGGTACTGGTTAAAAAATAAAAAGTTGATCAGTGAAGCAGATTAGGTACACAATAGAGAAGGAAGGAAGAACAATTTGACAAATCCAAAGATCTCAGCTACTAGTATAAGAACCCACACTATTTGACCAAAAATTGTTGGAAAACTAGAAAGCTAGAATACCAGAAACAAGGTATAGACTAACATCTCACATTGTATACCAAGATAAGCTCAAAATGGGTACATGACGCAGACATAAAGGTTTGACATCACGCAGTTAGTTAATTAGTAACACTTTGGGGAAGTTGGCTTCTCTGGGCCTCAGTTTCCTCATTTGTAAAACAGGGCATTGAACTAAATATGGTCTTTTGTAGCTCAAAGTTCTGTGCTTATATATTTTTCTATGTTATTCTATTCTAATTACTTACATTTGACAATCCATATGTGACAATCACAAAACTTCCCTATTAAACAGAATATTAGATTAACCTCATTTTTCAGATGAGGTTCAAAGAGTCTAAATGCCTTGTGAAGGGTCACGAGCTCATCAGTAACGGAGCCCAGAACTCAGGTCTCCTCACGCTCAGTCTGATTTTCTAACTCTAGACCTGTGCTCTAATATTAAAACTGGCGTTTTTATTTTTCTGTGTTGTAGGGCATACCAGAGGAAGACGTTGAAGCAAGATTCTTTGTATGAAGCCTTGCTGCCTTTAGTGTCTCCTGCCCTCCTGTTTTCCCTCCTGACTGTTTGGGTGGCTTTATCTCCATGTAATATATTAATCAAGCAGCCCAGATTATTTTTATTTATGGTTGGCGTTGCCTTCTCCAGTGTTGCCGTAAGTATCCAAAAGATTCACACTTGCGTAGTTGGGTGAAAAAACGTTCATCCAAAATGACCTTCACAATTCTTTAAGCAATCTTGCTTTTGTCTAAATGGGGCACTGTGTGCCTTAGGCATTGGATAGCTATAATCGTTTTGAAATGGCATTAGTTTCAGGTCCTGCCTGGAGACAAAGGGATGGCTTAGGTTTAGGCCTTCTGAATTTTCTTCTCAACCTTAGTGATTTTGCTTAAGTAGTAAAATAGTAATAATAATAATGATAACTAACATTTGTAGAGCACTTACTATGTAGTAGACACTGTGCTAAGCACTTTGTAATTATCATCTCATTTAATGGTGCTATTATCATTTCCATTTTACAAATGAGGAAATTAAGGCAAACAGGTTAAATGACTTGCTTAGGGTCACACAGCTAGTAAGTGTCTGATGTTGGATTGACCTCAGGTTGTCCTGAGCATACTAGCTGTGTGATCCTGGGCAAGTTACTTAACCCTGTTTGCCTCAGTTTTCTCATCTGTAAAATTATCTGTAGAGGGAAATGGCAAACCACTCCAGCATCTTTGCCAAGAAAACCCCAAATGGGGTCACGAAGAATCAGACATGGCTGAAAAACAACTGAACAACAACCACAAATTCCCGACTCCAGGCTTGGCTCTCTATCCACTGCACCACTTTGCTGCCCAAAAAGTAGACTGGTGTCTCTAGAGATGATTCTTAGGCCTCAGGGGCCCAGATGCTGAAGCTAAATCAAATGACTCATTTTGGGGCATGTTGACATGACTTGGTGTAGAGGGTTTGGTCGGACAGCCTCTGAATTTGGTGACGCCGACATATTGGTTTATTACTTTAAAATGGTTGTCAGTCAACAAGCATTTATTAAGTGCTTACTATGTTCCAAGTACTAGGAATACCAAAAAAAAAAAAAAAAAAGCAAGAAACGATCCCTGCTTTCAGGAAGGGATTGGAATTGGAAGAGACAATAGACGTAAATATGTAATACAAAATACGTGAATCATGATATACTTACAACAGATGTACAGTGTAAATGGAAGGTAACCTCAGGGAAGGCATTAGTAGCAGGGGAGACTGGGAAATGCCTCCTGTAGAAGGTGGGATTTGAGTTGAGTCTTGAAGAAGGGCAGGAAAGCTAGGAGGTAGAAGTGAAAAAGGAGAGCATTCTAAGTAAGGGGCACAGCTAATGCAAAGGCATGGCATCGGTAGATGGAGTGGCGTATGTGAGGAACAGCAAGCTGGCCAGTATTGCTGTTTAAAGAGTATGTGGAGAGGAGTCAAGTGTAAGCAAAACGGCATGCTTTCCTGGAATTTTCTTTTGCCTGTTTGACACAAGGGGCAAGGGCATCCTCATTGGGGAAAGTAATCTAGAAGTTTTCATTTAATAGATGATTTTCTTTTTGGATTTTGATTTAATCAGTTACTACCGATGTAGATCAGCTCTGCAGTTTATCATTGCGGAGAAAAGAAAATATACTTTGACTTACGTGATCCCATTTGGGGTTCTCTTGGCAAAGATGCTGGAGTGGTTTGCCATTTCCCTCTACAGATAATTTTACAGATGAGAAAACTGAGGCAAACAGGGTTAAGTAACTTGCCCAGGATCACACAGTACTTACATGAAAAGGAACTGTGACACTATTGGGGGAAACATATTGATCTAGCATTTTTTTCCATAAGAAGGAATGTTTGCAGTTATGAATTTCCTGATGTAGAATTAAATGGAAGTCACACAGTGCAGCAAAGGACAAGGTCTTTGGTTTTCTAATACCCCAACCCCTAGATTTTTTGGAATTTATAGATACTCAGTGTTTGGGCTATGGCCTGTCAAACTCCCAACAGATCCTAGGGTATACCTAGAGAAATAGGAATATTGGTTACTCTACTTCTTTCTACCCTCTCCAATGAAAACTATTGTTGAATGAGTGAAATTGTAAATCTTTTAGAAGGAACCAGGAGATATTGTAGTAATGGAAAAATTGGATAAAAAGGTAGGGAACTTTGGTCTCTTATAACTTTTAACTCCTAAAGTTAGAGATTTATTAACACCTCACTCCCTAATATGAATTTTAATATGCAGTCAACCCTCAGCTTTCACGAGGGTAATGTTCCTAGAAAACGTGCATGGAAGTAAAAAATGCAAATGTTGATACATTAAACCTATGGGAAATACGGGGTTAGATTCCCGGGACCACCCAAAACTATAATCTTTCACTAGAGAATGCTGAAAATATACTTTTCTTCATATACTTCTTTATAACAAAACATTAGTTCTGATATTATGCACTTTTCCTAACACAGTAACCATGAAATAACCCATAAAAAGTATACAAAAGAAAATGAAAATTGGTAACATGCAAAGCATTTTTTCCTGCTAGTCATTCCCTAGATTTCTGTGACCTTTTATGCTAACACCTCAATAAAAACAAAACAAAACACTGATTATGGACAATATTCACGTTTCATAACACATGAAATCTACAGTACCACAAATACTGTATAGTAAATAAAATTCTTAAAACTAGAACATTGTTAACCTGAATCGTACCTTCCCCTATGTCAGATGGCAATGTGAGGGTGTTATACTGTATACTATACTGCTGTAAAACTTTCTACCTTGGCCACCCTCTGAAAACCAAGGGAGAGGTTGCAGGGACTTCACTCCCTGCTGTCAGAAGACGCCCAGACTAGTGAGGTCTCAACATCACCTTTGATACTCAATCCTTCACACCTGGTGGTTGGCGATAAAGATGGTGAAGGATGCACCAGCTTAAAATAATCCATCAGTGATGTCTGCTTCATGGCCTGTTTGGGATCGTTAAGGGTCTTGGAGTATGGCAGCATAGTGGAGATGAGGCGACATTTAACCTTGAGGCTGAGATCTATGATCTGCATGCCTCTATGCCTCTATGCCTCTAGCCAGTTGGTCTATTTGGCTGGCGGCAGGTACAGACATATCAGCACAAAGTTTATCTAACACTTCTATTTTCTCTAAGCTGCATCACTGACTTTGCATGCTTGGGCTTACAGCCCAAAACACTTGCACTACATTCTGGAGGCATAATTGCAACATGAAAGTTAAGTTTTAAAGGCAATGAAAATATGCAACTAATACATGGGGAGCTCTTTACATTGACAGGGTGAACAAGACCATTGAAGTGACTAGTAGGATACCATCCACCCCACAAATTTGCCCCTTGCACCTCTCATCTTTTTCTGCTATGAATGTGCACATTTATCAACATGAAAGTGAAATGAAGTTACTAGTAAAATCAGGCAAATGCTTGAAGTCGCAAGGGTGAATGTTAAACATTGACTGTATACATATACTGAGCTTATACTGAGCTTAATGTACATGCATCATTAGGACTGATTTAGACCTGAAAAAAGCATCATCTAGTCCAAACTCCTTACTTTACATACGAGGAAGAAACTGAGACCCAAAGAGGCTAACCACCTGGCCAAAACTACATAGATTTTAAGTAGCAGAGAGGGGATTCAAATCCTGGTTATCTAATTCTAAATCCTGTAACTATAGGCAGCTAGGTGGTGCAGAGAATTGAGCACCAGAGTTGGAGTCAGGAAGACCTGAGTTCAAATACAGATACTTTAGATACTTGCTAGCTGTGTGACCCTGAGCAAGTCTTTCTGCCTCAGTTTCCTCATCTGAAATGTGGAGATAATACTAATACCTACCTCTCGTGATTGTTGAGAGAATAAAATGAAATAATATTTGTAAAATGCTATATAAATGCTAGCTCTTATTATTGCCATTTCATCATTTTTTATGGTGTTAGGGACAAAAGTTTCTATTTGTGAAACTAGGCAAACATTTTGAAAATAAGTTGATAAGGCCAGGGCATCCTTATTGGAGAAAGTAATCTAGGAGTTTTCACTTAATAAATTACCATCTGTTTGTTTTCATTTCTTTTTAAAATACGCTATGGAGCCCATTGTTCTCAAATTGTCTATTTCCTAACTCTTCAGTTTCTGACCTGGGTATCACTATTCTCCCTGCCTCCTAGGACCAGGGGGTAAATAATATTTGCCTGCTCTCATGTTTGAGTTAAATGGATTAAAATATGGTAGCTGAAATCACATTTCCAAATTAGAAGAAGTCACATTTTCTTTTAATTTTCTGGTTCTGGCTGGTTGTTCCTATTTATATTTCCTGTGGAGGCTGAGGATATGTTGTCATGGCAATTTTTTTCTCCTTGAAATTCTTACACTCTTGGAGTTTCATTATTTTTACCCAGTAGCAAGTAATGGCACATGTGTTGCTTTAGCATGAATATTTTCTTTTCATAGTTTGAGAATTATAGATAAGTTAAAATTTACCTTAGATCACACATTTTTTTCTTGACATCTCAAAGGAAAAAAACACACAAAACTTTGGACCTCCTGTTATGGTTAGCAGTAGCTGAGATGTTCTTAATTCCTTGTAACCACAATCATCACCCCCTCCACAGACTCCATTTTTTTATGCTGTTAAATATGCTCAGATCTCCCTTTTTTTTATAAAGTCCATTTTCATGATTCTTATGCACTTTTTTCTAACTATTATTTTCAAGTCTCTTAATTGCTTCCTGCTTCAGTTTCCTCAACTGTAAAATGGGGATATTAATAGCACCTGCCTCACAGGGTCGTTGTGAGGATCAAATGTACTATTTGTAAAGTGCTTAGCATAATGCGTGGCACATATTAATTGCTTAATAAATTCCCCTTCTCCTTCTCCTTCCCCTTCCCAGAATCAAACATAGTTATCAAACATAGTTATGGAATATCTGAGTTGGAAGGGACGCTGGGGGTCACCTTATGGAACCTGTATGTGAACAAGAATCCTTTCTAACTGTATCCAGAACCTTGAAGACCTCTAGTGAGGGGAAACTTATTACCACTTGGGGAAGTCCTTTCCGTTTTTGTAAAACTCTATTTTTAGAAATATTTCCTTTAAGTAAAGTCTAATCTGTATCTCTGCAACTCATATCTATCCTTCCTAGTTATGCCCGGTATATTGAACAAAACAAGGCTTATCTTTCTTCCAGGTGATAGTTCTTCCAATACTTGGAGTATCTAACATGTTCCCCCCTTAGACTTCTCTTTCCCATACTAATCTATACCATTTCCTTCAACTCATCCTTCTGTGGTATGATTTTGAGACCCTTCAACTTTCTGTATTCCCTCTCCTCCAGGATGTTCTTCATTTTACCAATATATTCTCTAGACTGTGACACTCAGAACTCAACACAGTACTTCAGCTGTCACAAGGAAAGAGCACAATAGTATTATCACCTCCATTTTACTAGACATTCTTCCAAACTTAGCTTGATTTAGGTTAGGATTAATTTTGGGGGGGAGGAGATAATTGGGGTTAAGTGATTTGCCCAGGATCACAGAGCTAGTAAGTGTCGAGTGTCTGGTCTGAGACCGGATTTGAACTCAGGTCCTCCTGACTTGAGGGCCAGTGAGATTAAGATTAATTTAAAGATTGCATTAGTTTTTTTTGGCTGCCATGTCATACAACTGACTCATAATGAACTTGTGTGCCACTACAGTCTCCAGATCTTTTTTTCAGTTCAACTAATATGTAACCAGACTTCCCTATCTTTTATTTGTGAGGTTGATTTTTAAAATTCAGATATAAGAAATTATATTTATCTCTATTAACCCATGCCCTTCTTGACTTCCTACAGTTTGACTCCTAGATTCACCATTCAACTAAAAATGTTGTTATAAAAGTCACCAATAACTTTTTTTTTTTGGCCAAAGTAATGGACTTTTCTCAGCATTTCCAAAATTTACCTTCCAAAGTAGGTGACTAGGAAACACATTAGATGATACTTATCTAATTTTTTAAAAAAAGTTAATTTCTGTACTACAAAAAACTACATTGTCACCTATTTTTCTTCACTGCTATGTCTTCACTAAGTTGTAATTATTCCTGCTTACAGTACCCAGTTAGTACCCAGTTATCTTGTACTGATGGTGGGCAGGGTTGGCATGGATAAAACAAATTCATGGACAACTACCAAACTTCATAAGAATTACTGGCTTCAATTTCATTATTCTCCTTAATCTTTTATTATTTGCTATTGCAAATCAATAGCAAAACAGGTTGTTAAAAGTCAGGTAACTGGAGAGGAGAAAAAGCAAAGGACTTGAATAATCGATGTGGTTATTCCTCCCTTGAATGATCAATAATTGATTGTTTACGTGCTCCATTTCATGAATCTAGAGGTAGAAGGGTAATAGACCAAACCTTTCATTTTACAGATGAGGGAACTGTCCTTGAGAGGCTAAATGACTTTCCAAGAACTCAGGTCCCATTATTATAAGCTCATTATCCTTTGACTAGTTCTTTGGGGGTAATTAAGAACATGGTATTAAAAGTTATCACAAACACTTATTATTCATAATTTTTCTTTGTATACCATGTATTTATGTGACTTTCATGGATTCCAGAAGCATGTCCTAGCTGAATATGAGGGCATAGCTCAAACTAATTGTCTTTAGGATATGGTTGTTTCGTCTGGCTACAAGGCTTTCAGATGTATTAGCCTTATTCTCTACCTTTCTTCTCAACATCCCAATTCTAGAAGCCAAAACATGGATGTTGTCCATCAGGAAGTATGTTTCTCCCTTCCCCCCCTTTTTTTGAGACTGGGTCTCCCAGCTCCCTCATCTAGGCTTCAGTGCAGTGGCCACTCATGAACCTGATCCCACTGCCTGATCAATACAGAAACACAGATTTGCCTGCTTTCCAACCTAGGTTGATTTGTCCTTTTTTAGGCAGCCTGGTGGACCTCCATGCCCAGAGTTTGCTATACTGGTACCAGACTCAGTGCAAAAAGCCATTTGATCAACTGTAGCTCTACCAAAGCTCAGAATTCCTGAATTCAAGTGATTCATTAGCATCAGCCCCCCCCCCCCCCCCCCCCCATGGCAGGGTTTAGAATGCAGGTAGGGACTTGTGGCCTCAAGGCCACATGTGGCCCTCTAGGTCCTCAAGTGTGGCCCTTTGACGGAATCCAAACTTCACAGTTTAATATCGTTTTATTAAGGGTATTTGTTTTGTGAAGTTTGAATTCGATCAAAGGGCTGTACTTGAGGACCTAGAGGGCCACATGTGGCTTCGAGGCTGCAGGTTCCCCACCCCTGGTTTAGAAGCATGGGCCACCATGCTCAGATCTTTTAGGAAGTACTAATGCAGGGTTGTTTGTGAGGCAAGGGCTTTTTTTTTGGAAGCAATGTGATGTAGTGGAGTGAGCACTGAATCTAGAGTCAAAAGTTCTGCATTCAATTGACAGCTCTGTTTCTTACCACCTATATGATCCTAGGATCATAGATTTAGGACTGGAATTAAGAACCTATAAGCCATCAAGTACAACTCTTTCCTTTTTACAGTGGAAGGAAAAAAAGACTGTAAGAGACAAGGATGACCAAGGTCATCCAGCAATAAGTACAAAGCTAGGATTTGAACTCAAGGTCATTTTATTCGAGCATTTTTTCCATTGCACCATTCTGCTTGTGTGACTGTAACCTGACTGCCATCAATATGGGTGGAGAAGTGGCAGCCCTGTGCTGTATGCCACCTGGAGAATGGGATTCTAGATTGGAGAAGAGGCATTCTCCATGGTGTGAGAGATAGAGGTAGATTTTGGAAGGCAGAGAGGTAGGTGAAGTTAGGTCTTTAACACATACCTGATTTCTAGCTTGGCTCCCTGAGACTCTGCAGAGTTTCCCCTTGGGTGACATTGGGGCTTCTCTCTTGGTTGGACCAAGCCCATCTGAAGAGTTCATTCATTCCTGTGTATTTTCTGGTATATTCTAATCCCGGGGTGGGGAACGTGTGGCTTTGAGGCCACATGTGGCCTTTTAGATCGTCAAGTGCGACCCTTTGACTGAATGTCAAAGGGCCTTAAAGCTACACGTTCCTCAACCCTGTTCTAATCTGCATAACTTCTCCAATTTCTGCTCACTATTTGCTGGGATAAATGGGTTTACTCACTAGTCCCAATTTGTGATGGTGTTTTACACGACTTTCATTTGGTGGAAAGAGGCCAAACTAGTGAGTATAGGGTCAAAAGCTGCTGGCTTCCCTGGTCACTATCTCATTAGGGAGAGGTCATCCAAGATTACATTTGCCCAAACACAGGGCCCCTCCCCTCCCTAGCTAAGTAGGAGGAAGAGGCACAAGTAATTTAATCCCCTTGTGCCTCAGTTTCCTCATCTGTAAAATGAGGGGAATAGACTCTTGGTTCCCTTTCTACTCTAAACTGATAAGATTTTTTTTTTGAAGTTTCAAGTTAAATGTTAAAATTTTTATTATGGAAGCAAGAAAAAAATGAAACTAGACTAGATCATTTGACCCCTTCTCTTCTTGTTTCCTCCAAGTGTCAAATGCTTGGAGTTCTTAATTGCTTGCATCTTCTTAGATCTACAGTTGGGCTTAATATACATCTCAGTCCAGTCTTCTTCGTGGTCTGGAACCGCTTTCAGAAAATTGGCTTTGTGTGACCACTACAGCCACTGTGCTTCCAGCTAGTTCCCTTTCCCCTGAGTGTATAGGGGGTCCACACTCTTTGTGAGGCTGGTGCTTTCTGCACCTTGTAGGATCTGGAGGTTTGTCGAACGTTCAATACATTGGAGACAACATCACTGGTAAGGAGAAGGTTCAATATTAAGTTCAACAAGAAGTCTTCCTGCTTAGGTGAAAATGAGGTTGTTGTGAATAGTAGTACTAGCGGGTGGTACAGTGAGTGGATATAGTGGCGGGCCAGAAGTCAGGAAGATGAATCTTCCTGAGTTCAAATCTGGCCTCAGATACTTATTAGCTCTGTGACCCTGGGCAAGTCACTTAACCCTGTTGCCTCACTTCCTTATCTGTAAAATGAGCTCAAGGAGGAAATGGCAAATCAACCCAATATCTTTGCCAAGAAAACCCCAAATAGGGTCACAAAGAGTCGGACAGAACTGAAATGACTGAACAACAGCAATCTGACTTATTCCCCTGGTCTAGACCCAATTGGTTAGTCATTCTTGAAGTATTGCTTCTACAAAGCTTTCCTGGATTAGCACTAAGCAGGAAGCTTATCACTTGTCATTTGCTCGTGCTTTTTGGAAGTCTGAATAAACAGGAATAGGGGCAAAATTTCAGAAATAAGTTCAAAAGAGACAGAAGAAGCTGTTAAAAAGGAGAAAAGGGGGAAACAATAAAATCCATTCATTCTGCTAGTCACCTCACATACATATTTTTTCTCTCTGCCAATATAGAAGGAAAAGAGACATTTCCCATTAAACTTCACCCTTGGATCTAGTCCAGTTTTTCTAGTCCTCAGAAATGGGAAGGTGAGTGTTTAGGGAGTAGGAAGCCTGGGAGAGAGTTGGGCAGGAAGAGCAGGAAACCTAATAGATAACATTAACTTTTAACATGCTTCCTTTAGACAACTTTGGCTCCCCCATCTAACTTTAAAATGGGATTGTTTTCTCTTATTGCAACAGTGCAGAGTGATCGTGTGCCAAATGAGCAACACCAGATCTGAGTCATTCCACTACCTCTTGTTTCCATTGGCCCTGGTGGTCTTCGCAGCAGTAACAGGGCTTCTGGGGAGACTGGAGGAATCGGTGTTCATGGCTTTCACTGCGTTAACCACAATGGCTCATGTGCACTATGGAGTGTGTGTGGTAAATATCTCATCTTTTTGTTTGTTTGTCTTCTTTCCTTACAGTAGCAAATTAAAAGTAATAGTACTAGAGTGCTGACCCTGCGGTCAGGAAAACCTGAATTCAAATCCTGCCTTAGGCCCTTATTAGCTCCTTCCCCCTCTCTAAATGCTGCTGTTTGCCCTGCCTTGTTTCCATCTTGCAATCCACTGAAGCGGGGGGAAGGGAAGAGAGGAGAAAAAGAAGACTCCATTTTGTTCTGCCTCTTTTCCCTTCTTCCATCCCTGAACAGCTTCCAGACTCCATCTAATTACCCTAAGGCCTTACTGTTTCCTCTTATGACGCAGCTAGGTGGTAAAGTAGACAGCATGTTGGACTTGGAGTTAGGATGACTGGAGTTCAAATCCTGCCAAAGACACTTAACAGCTGTATGGCTAGCATCGGTTCAGTTTTAAAATGTAGATCATCACAGGCTCTTACCTCCCAGGGCTGTTATGAGGATCAAAAGAGAAAGTATATGTAAAGTGCTTTGCAAACCTTAAAGTGCTATACAAATGTATTAAGTGTGTACATAGGTGCACACATGGGCCATAGTGTGTGAGATGTTATTAACTAATGGATTAAAAAAAAGATTTCTTGAATTATTCCTTTTAGCATATAAATTGTTTAGGACACAAATATGCTCACTCATCCCAGGGAGAGATCATTTATGTAAAATAAAAGCAGTTATTTGCAGGTCTGATTAAGATCTTCAGAGAAAAAAGTGAAGATCAAAAAAAAATCAAGTCTTCCAATCAATCAATTAATCAATCAAGAAACATTTATTAAGTGCCTACTATGTGTCAGGCACTGTGCTAAGCATAAAAGAGGCAAAAGATAGTCCCTTTAAGAATTTCATGATTAATGGGCAAATGGGCAAATATTGCTCAAGGTAACCTAAAAATTAAGAGCATAACTCCTAAATTGTTATGTGACATTTTTTTTAATGCTCTGGAAATGTGAAATGCCAAACAGTGGTCATAGGACTAAAAGATTTTGAATTTGAAGGGGTCTTAGAGGCTACTGAGTCCAAACCCTTCCTTCTCCAAATGGTCCTGGGAGATCAAATTATCTGTGTAATTGCACATAGCGATTAAGGGTCTAAGATGGAATTTGAACCAAGGTCTTCCTGACTCTAGGTCCAGTGATCTACCCACACTATACCATGATGATCCTTACATTATACTATGATGATCCTTGTGTTAGCATGTTGAAATACGTGAACATGAGTCACAAAAGCAAATCCAAAACAGAAATTAAGATCTTCTGTCTACATAAAAGCCATTTTTCTTAAGTGTACAAAACTGGGTATTGACCTTGGACTTCATCTCTCTTTGTATAGGTGATAGAGCTATTGTTATGGTACCTTGGAAGCAATGATGGGATACTTTAGTGTGAAAGAAAATGATGAGAGAGTGAAACAAAATGATGAGAGACAGAATCATAGATTTTGAGCTAGAGGGGACCTCAAAGGTCATATAATTCACTCCTCTGATTTTACAAATAAGGAGACTGATGTCCAGAGATGAAGTGACTTGCCCAGGGTCACACAGGTAGTAGCAGAGCCAGGATTTGAACAAGGTACTTTGTCTCTAAATCTAATGTTTTTTTCTCTGCTCTATACTTCACCCGAGGAATAATGTTTTTTCTTTGTCGATCTAGGATTATCAATACCGTTCTACAGCTGGAAAAGGAAATCAAGTAATATTCTCTAACTTATTTTTTCCCATTTCTTTCCATGTCTTCTAGGGGAGACAATTAAGTCAACACTTGAATATTCACATCTTTTCCATGAAGAAACGTGCCCAGGAATAAGTATTTGTTATCAAGGAACAGTCAAGATCTGCCCTGATATTCCTTCTTTCTAGGAACAATGAGACTCAATGTACCTGAATGACCAAAGTATCTTCATACACTTAATGAATATAATGGAATCCATGTGTAAAGTGGTGTGCTTCTCTTGTGTCTCGAATATAAGCTATTCACAGAAAGAGGTTTCTTAGCTTTTCCCCTCCATACTCCCACATCTCCATCTCTCCAGTCTCTTTCTGGCTTATGTTCAGAAGGGCAGAGGATTCTAACCATCATGGAGTGTGTGGCTGTGCCTCTAAAACGCAGAGGAAGTTGCCAAGTCAGCCTATGGGCCCTGTGTTAAGGAGCCCTCATACGGTTGGACAAGCCTGCATGCTTGACTCTGCTGGCTCCTTCACTGGACTGCTGTGAAAACAGAATGAATGTCACGGATGTTGCAGGATACCTGAAATACCTTAGAAGGCAGGAGGCATCCATCTCCTTCTGCATCTCCTCCTCCCATGTCCAAGTTTGGGCAGAAGTGACAGTTAAGAATTATGGAGTTGATGGTCATAGTGAATTTCAGGATGTAGCTTTTATAAGTCAAGTTGCTCAGGAACTCTAATTTGTTTTTTTCAGTACCCTCTGATAAGCTTAATCCTAAAAGCAAAACCACACGCCTTATTTGGCAGGTACTTAATGGAGAACTGTAGAAACCCTCCCCACAATTTATTGTTTTGTCATAGAATAAAAACAAAATAGCAGCTGACGTTGTAAGAGCCCTTTAAGGTTTGCCAAGTGCTTTCCATATATGCTCTCTCTCATCTTTAGGCACAGCCACATGAGAATAGGGAGATTCATTACAGCGCAGCAAGGAAACTCTAGGAGAATTAAAGCCAATAAAACTAACTGGAACAGATTCACAATGAAGCATATTAGATTAGGACAATCATTATATTCCTTAGGAGCAAAGTGAAGTTATTTCCAGTTGTCATGCTTTGATGCATAGCTGTGTGGTCCTAGGTACTATTTTTAAGGTCTACGTAAATTGAGTTAGTGTAAGTTTTATCCACAGAAACCATGCTTAGGGCTTCTCCCAAATAGTCAATGGTTTACATAATCATGTGTGTTCCAAGTTTTAAGAATTATATACTTTATATAAAAATGTCTCCATGTGGTAAACACAGTATACACACACACACACACAAGACCATTTGGAATTTGTTCATATACAAAAATAACTTCCACTCTTGTGAATTGAGAAGAGGTAATGATACAAATTCTCTGAATGAATGCTGCTATTGGGGTCTTTTTTCTTGGATTATTGTTGATATGAGTTTACTTACCTCTGACGTAAATATATTCATCCACTCTGTGCCTAGTAAACCTTTGGTCTTAAAGGGTAATTTTTTTTTCGTCTCTAACAAAGATACAACAATAAATGCACAGCACTGAAATGAAAGTGTTTCTCAGTATCCTGTGAATGGATAGATTAACTGATCTGTAATTTTCTAGTTTACATGGTCTATTGTTTACAGTGAGAATGTCTTCGGTTAAGGATTTGGTATCTGGAAAGAAAGTTTCATGGGATACATAACAATAATTCCAAAGTTACCCTCACATCGAAATGAAAATATGTGCTTTCTCCCTATGCCTTAAATATTGTCCAGATATCAGAAAAGTGTATGTGTACGTAGGCCTGATTGACTAGGTTCTTATATTTCTGTGAAATGCATCAAGCCAGAAAAACTGTCCTAGGAGATGCTAGAGAGATCATATTATGTTTGTATAACCAGGATATTGGATTAGAAGTGTTTTTAGTAAATAATTCTTGACTGCATGATTAGATGAAATGAAAGTATTATACATTTATGGGAATTGTCTTTTTCCAACATTTTAACACTTCTAAATATTATTTTAAGTTGTCAGAATTTTGAACACATCTTAGGAAATGAGTCAAAGGAATCTTTAAAAATTATTCTTTTTAGTTTTATTGTATAATGTAACCAGTGAATTGGAGAGATTATGTTATAACATCAAGATAAAAGGAGAGAAATTTTGCTACACAGGGAAACGCCTACATGTTCTGTTGTACTGGAACAATAAGATCATAAATTTAGAACTGAAGGAACCTTAGAGGTCATTGAGTTCATCAACCCTCTCATTTTATAGATGAGGCAATTGAGGGCCAGTGAAGTTAAACAAGTTGCCTGGGGTCACAAAGCTAGTAACTGTATGAGATGGAGTTTGAACCCAAGTCTTTCCTGACTCTAAGCCTAGCAAAGAATGAACACTGTAAAGGAGCCAATTTATGTTAGTAGTAAGGAAAATTTTTCTAGCAGTTAGGACTATCCATAAAAGTAATGTGCTGCTTTCTTGGGAATTTTCAATCTAAGGCTGGATGTCTCCTTATCACATATGTTGTGTTATACATAGTCTTGTTCAGGTAAAGGTTGCCCTCCCCTCAACTGAGAGATTATGAAATTGTATTCTTTTGGGGATAATAATGTGGTTAAGTTCAGAGTTACATTAACACATCATTGCACTTTCCTATAATGCAAATGCAAACTACATACGCTCATTTACCCAGTTGAGGGATTTAGATTTGTTTGACGGCAATGCAAGTCTGTGGTCCAAAGGCCCCCTGTCATTCTTATGGTCCTCCAGAGTCCAACATATCTGCCAGATTTTACTTCTCTTATACAAGAAGATCCATTGCTTTTAACCTCTCCCACTGAGAAGGGAGTGTGCTTTATAGTTCCCAGTTAGGTAAAGTATTAAGTCTGGTGATGGAGGAGTTGAGTGGTTAAACGTCCATTGGGAAGTTTTGATTTCAGCACCTAGCACAGTAGGAACTCAAATATTTGCTGAATGAATGAATGATTTGATATTCCTCTTGGAAGCAGACTCTATGTAGTACTGTTCTGTTTGCACTGAGAATGAGAGTTTGCGAGTCTATAATAATTCCATCAGTCTCAATAATCACAACAACCATATCTAAAATTTTGGTTTTTAAACTGGGGAATGCTAATGCTCTGTGATCTTAGGAGTTTTTAAAAATTTATGTGAAAAACCTGTTTGTTAACTTAGACTGGGAATATGGCAGAATTCCAGTAAGATTTACATGTCTGTGATTCAGAGCCCTGTTCTTCTACCAGTAATGGGAACTCATGGATTATTTTGAGAGAATCTCAGATTGAATCTTATTCACAGTATGTCTGAATGACAAGGGACTTTTGCTCACCATAACCTGTAACAAATCTCTTGTAAACAAGCTGCAGACCCATCAGAATTTCAAGGATTTTTTTTTCTTTTTTGTAATATGTTTGAGGTCAAAAGGAAGAAGTGTTTGCTTTTAGCAGTAAGACTTTTACCATATGAAGATTGTCTTATAGACCCCACTATGTCAAGAATGCACTCAAGGGAAAGCTGAATTAGGCAATAGGATTATTCCTATCTTTGTATTTCTGTCCTTTATTTCCCCTTCTCCTCTCCTCTTTGATAAATGAATAATAAATTAAATAAATAAAATCTTTTTTCACAGTCAGACTGGTAACAGCCTAGTAAGGAAACTAAATTGACCTCTAGGTGGTGCTTGAAAACAGTATGGTGATTACTTTTCATTCTGGAAGCAAAAACACCCATCCATTATACTTCCAAGCTCTGCAGGCCACTGGGTGGAGAGTGATTTCCCTACTAATGAATACTGTATTTTTCTATGTGGTTTCTCTGGGTTAGGTTTTAATGAACTTTCCTACTTACTCCTTGTTTTAAACTTCACACATCCGTTTACAAATCATCATACTCTTTGCCAAGGTCAGTCATAAGGACTGGATTGGGGAAAAAAAAAATCCTTATTCAAAAAGCTTTTGGCTAGAGTCCTCCTCTCTTTTGTTGCAGAGCTCGCCTCAGGACCATCCTAACATCTCTCCCGTGGTGCCTGCTCCTTAGTCCTATCTTCCCCAGGCCTGTCCTGTTCTACCTCATTTTACCTGCATTTGCTGCTGGCGTTTCAGGTCTTTGCAAGTAGAACTGTTTCTCAAAGGAATTTTTCTTCTTATTTTTCTCTTTATATTTTCGTTAAAATTTTTCTGAGTAATACAGATGCCTGACAAGGCTGCTATGTATGGTACCAAAACATGGAGCCTACATCTCCTGCTAAAACATTTGGCACTTAAAAAAAAACAAAAACCAAACCCTTCTCCTCCAATAATACATGTAAACCCATACGTGTACAATCTATACATATCCACATGCTCATTAAATGCTAATGTTGACAGTAAAAATTTAAATAGTCTATAGATCTATAAAGATTTTAACATATACTTTTTTTTATTAAATATGTAAAAAGATAAACGCAAGTCAAGTTATTCACATATTCAGAGACAAAAAAATCTACTCTACCATGCGACAGTCGGTGGGTAAAGTAAAATGAGTGTGATACATCTGAATAAGCCTTTTTCATCTATTATGCCATTACTTATCTATTTATAATTAACAATACATATGTTTACATTCCTTTCAGTTTACATTTAATCTATAACAAAAGCTTTATGGTATACTATTTATTAAAAGTAATTACGAATGCATATTAAACCATAACGGAATAACAGGAATACTCACCAGGGAGGGAAGAGGAGGCCTTGTTTCCCTTCTGGAGTTTACTTCTCTCAGGTCACCTGGGGTGTTTTTGTTTGTTTCTGCTTAGAAAGAGAGTGGGTTTTCCCCTTGCTCTCTACTCAATCACTTCCTGCCTGACATAAGCGGTGAAAGTGCTATAATTGGCTTGATAGGTAGATGAGAGGGGTGGACAGAAAATGAATTTGTGTGAATGGGAGAAGGAAAGTCATTCATCAAGGGGGTGCTGCTTACTGCAGCAAAGTCAGTCATTGCCATCAGTGGTCTAAGGAGGAAGATAAACTGTAGGATGCTTGAGCTGAGGAACAGAGCTTTCACTATTCAATGAGAAAGGATCTGGAAAGGGACCCAACTCTCTTTCCTCCATGGATAGTTCAGATAGCTCCTGCAGAAAGGGATCAACTGAGAGACAAATGATGTGAAAATATCTTATAACTTATAAAAGCCCTGCTTCACCTGGGATGCAGCTTGATTTAATGTTGGTAAGAGACACAAAAGAGGAAACTTTTCTAGTTCTTTTCTAAATGAATGAAGAACAATTTGATCTAATAACCAAAGCTGTGGGAATCTTGGAAAGATTAATCAAATATGGTGGATGAAGCAAGTAAGTCTACTTTACAGGACAGGAAAGTATATGACCCACATTTTTCAGCTGAGAAGATGGTAGGAATGGGGTGGTCTCAGGGATTGTCATTAATGAAGCTTATGGAAATTATTCAATGACTCGAATAATGAATTCTGGAAGAGAAACTTCAGAACCTAGCTGTTCCCTAGAAAGGGGATGGGACCTTGAGGAATGACTGCCCCGGCATCGATGTTGCTGCTGATGTCAGGAACTCATGCTTATAGCTTCCACTAAGAGTTGTTGTGATCTGCGAAGACATAAAAGGAGGGTCTGGTCCATTCGCCTGTCTATCCTGGACCATAAGATTGTTTATTATGTGTCTCTTGGAAGAAAATTTCCTTTCACATATTTCCTTGTGCACTTACACAGCTGTCTTTTACATTGAGGAAAGGCAGTGACCAAACAAAGCTTTAAAAATGCAGCAAACAAAGTTAGGTGGGAGACTTATAGCATTACCACTACTTGTTACCAGGTGGGAGAGGATGTCAATGATGAGAGCCAGGCTAGAAAACCTACCTAGCCTTAGAATGGTGAGCTACCATGCTGTCTGCTGTATAGAGAAAGCAATGGAGAGAAGAAGGGGAAACAAAACCCATAAGATTTATGTCTATTTTTTTCCACAGTGAATTGTATATACCGGATATAGGGCAAAACCTCAAAATACAAGCATCCCGCTGGACATTTAACTCAATAAACACCACTTTGCTGCAAAAGATTTATTTGGAGCAGAAGATTTTTATTGGTAAAAACCTTCAGCTCTAGTGTGAATTTAGAACTGGAGTTTAATCAATTAGTAAATAAATTCAAAACTTTAAAATAGATCATTCAGAAGTTTATTTTAGCTGTTTAGTTAAGTGGGAAGTATGGGGTTGGGTGGAAGGGGCACTTGTTTCTTGCTTTTGTTGCACCTGCTAAATCAAATTACCAGTGAAAATAAATCAAAAATTGGAAACCAAGCAAAATGAACCAAGATGGAACACCAACTGCAAATGGAAAAAAAAAAGGTGATGAAGAGTCAGAAAGAGACTAATAAAATGTGCAAATTTTAGTTAAAAAATAAGGAATGCTTTTAATACATTAATATTTGCTATATTTGTTTATAAATTGTCACTGTTTAGCAAAGGTCAACAACAAGAAGGGCCCTATGAAGAGGAAAAATTCCATATTCCAAATGCTATTGGGAGTCACGGATCTTTCTGTCATATAACTCCAGCATCTTAGGCAGCAGAGTCTACACCAGGCTGCAGAAATGTCTCCCTTGGAGGTCAGAGGATCATAGATTTAGAGCTGGAAGGGGCTTTAGAGGTTGTGCTTCCACTAATCAGAGCATCACTTCAATTTCAGGTGAAATTTCCTGTCATGGCGTGCACAGAACTTGACAAACACAGCTAGCTGCAACCCATTCCTTATTGTAATTCTTATAGAAGAACTCATTCTTTTTTAAGAATTGCCATTGGTTCTGGAGCCAGCAGGCAGTCAATGGACCTTAGCCAGGCCTCTTTCTTCCTCTGGGTTGAATGTCGGATGAGAGGCACTGAAATCCACACTAATTATCTTTCATCTAGGGTACTAATAAGGAAAAGGAGGGAGGGGGCAGAAGGCAGTAGGGTTACTCTCTGACTGACCTACATACCCAGAACCCTTTTGGTCTGAAGATACTGAGCAGCAGCATCTTGGGGAGTATGCATGTATGTATGTATGTATACTATCTATCTATCTATCTATTTATCCACCAAATAGGACCCTGAGAAAGAAAAGACCATGAAAACCTCTGGTGGCAGGGTAAGGAGATGGGGAGGGGCAGAAGGGAGAAAAAATAAGGAAAATTGAGATGTTTTTTCTTTTTTTTTTTCCTCTTAAGTGGATTCAGATCTTCCAAAAATAACAACATACTGTGTGGTTGTCTAACATGCTGATGTGTAAAACACTGAAGGGACTTTCAGTCCTTTGAAACCATTGTTTAGTCTTTAGTTGTGTGAATAGAGAGATAATGTGATTTGTAGTGGCACAAGCCTTCCCGTCCCTCACCCAGGAAAATATGCCGTTATCATTATGGCTTCACTCTCAAGTATTTCTTTTCCCTTTGTTTCAATTCATCATTTGACCAAATTTATGCTCAAAGGCAGACAGACTTGCAAACATCAAAGCACCACAAATGTGTGTGACATCTAGTAACATTTTGTCGTAAGATGCCAATATAAATACCATATATCAAATTACAACGGTATCATACTAAGACAAAAGTTGGGGGAAGGGGGGATCTTTTTGAAAGAAAAGGACAGAACCCATCTCAAGCAGCCAAGTGGTGAAGTTGAAAGAATGTGACCCTACAATCTCTCAGGTGGACAGCCAGAGAGTAGACTTTTGCTAATGCATCTTGGCAAAGTAACGAGCAGAGATCGCAGTGGTTTGGCTGGCACTCACTGCAGTGCGTCCACGGTAATGGTGGATGGAGAGCAAAGGGTTTTCTTTCGTGTTTGAGGCCACACATGTTCCAATTCTCCAGAAGAAAAGTTTCCACAACAAAATGAAAAGTGTCAAGAGATGTGAAGACGGGTCAGTATTCTTCCTGCTGCTGAGGCTGCTCGTGAACTTGCCCTTCTGCATCTTGCTCCTCTGTGTGGCTCTCCTGCAAATGAGACAGAAAACCTTCAGACAAAAAGCCTTTGCTGTTAATGAAGCCCCCATGCCTCCCCAGTGCACATGGGTAGCCCGACTCTGCTCTGAAGATGGGCTGGGTTCAGGCATATCTGCACTTCCCTTCCTCCTTCCAATTCGTATTGGAATAATTCTTCTCATTTGATACGCAGTGGAGACTTAGGTTTAAGAATAATCCGAGTCAGGCTAGATATGGCCTGCTGACACAGAGACTGGTAGCTGGCACTAGGCTGGGATAGCACCTGAACGTCCTTTTGTTTTCTTCATACAGAGGAGTCCAACAATCTTTTTTTTTTTTTTTTTTTAACCAAGATCCCAAGCACACAAAGGTGAAATAAGACACAGTGGTGGTTTGGAGTCTGAGGACCTTGGTTCAAATCCCAGGCTTGCCGTTTTCTATGAAACCTTGGGCAAATCCTATTATTTTGACCTTACTTTCCTCATCCAGCAGGAGGGGTTTGATTAGGTTCATCCCAGCCCTAAATCTGGGATCCTACGCTTCTCACCACAACCTTACAGTCAGAGTGAGCAAAATTCTTATACGAGATGTGCTATGTAACGGGGAGCAGAACATGGTGGGAACAAAGGGAGGTCTACAGGGCTCATGGACGCTGCAAGAGGAAATGCAGGATTAAGGAATGCTTTGGGGAAGATCTGGCATCCGAATTGGGCCAGTCTATTGATAATTATTTATTAAATATCTTCTATGTGCCAGGCACATAGAAGACTCTGCCATCAAGATGATTACATTGTCCTGGGATTTGAAGTAAGGGAAGGATTTTAACAGGTTGGGATGGTGGCGGGCAAGGAGTCCATTCCAGGCATGGGTGATGACAGCCTAAAGAAGGCCAAAAAAAGATGGGAGATGACAGGATAAGGATGGGGTGAGTTGGTGGCAGCAAGGAATTTGGTTTGACTGGAATTTAGAGCACATGAAGGAATATGGTGTAAGATAAGGCTGAAAAAGGTTGTAGCCAAATTGTAAGGGCCTTGAATACTAACATCAACAATTTATACTTTATTAGGCAGGTGATGGGGAGCCACTCGAGGTTTTTGAGCAGAAGAGTGACATAATCAGTAGTGTTTCAGGAATAATTATGTGGGCAGTGGGAAGACTTCTTGTGACTCTAAAACACCCATTAGAACAAAAATCCTAGCTCCCTGGAACCTCCAAGAAATAAACTGTTCTGGGTAGCTGAGTTAATTCAGGCACCAGACTTGTTACTTTGCAGTTTTGGAAAGAAACCTTTATGAAATGGATTACAGACTTTACTGCCCTCTTCAATAGAAGATGGAGAAGCAGGGTGGTGTAGCGGAAGGAGTACCATGTATCTACAACATCTGCTCTGGGGAACAGCAAGGGGGTCATTTGGATTGGAACAGGGAACACATGTACGGAAATAATGTGAAATAAGACTACAGAGGTAGGTATGAGCTAAATTGTGGAAGGACTTAAATGCCACAGATGAGGTTTTGTGTATTTTATCCTAGAGGCAATAGGAGGTCATGGAAAATTGTTCAGTAGGGGTGGGAGTGACACAGTTAGATCTGAGATTATGACAACAGTCCAGGGGCGATGAGGATCTGCATTACAGAAGAGAGGAGATAGATGCCAGAGATGTTATGGGCACTGAATTGACAAGACGAATACGGAGGTCTCAGTTTCCTCATTTGTAAAATGAGCCAACAGTAACGACAGCTAACAATGACATAGTACCAGGCTTGGAAAGTATTTTATAGCTTTCATCTCACTTCATTCTCACAATAACCCTGTGAGCTAGGTGCTACTATTATCCCCATTTTGTAGTCGAGGAAACTGAGACAAAGAGAGGTTGTATGACTTGTCACACACCGTAGAACTAGGTAAGTATTCAGAGATGAGATTTGAATTCAGATCTTCCTGACTCCAAGTCCAACATTCTAGTTGTCTTTCTGGAATAGAATTGTATGAGGTGGCTTCTAAGGTTCCTTCCAGTTCTAAATCTATAATTCTATACATTAACACAGGAAGAGCTACTGTTTGAGATTATCTAAGGCAGATCACCACCTCTGTGATTATCAGGTGAGTCCTAGGAAGTCCCCTAAGGCGTAGAGATATTCAGCGGGGGGCCCAGGGTTCCATGGTTGTTAAGTGTGAGTGGTCGATTTAGAACCCAGGTGTTTCTGACTCCACGCCTCCATCCTATCCATGAAGTACTCTACGGAATCCACTGAGGAAGATAATCTTACCTTTCCTTGATGAGTTATCATTATGAACATCCACTATTGTACTATTCTCTGCTCAAACACAAGACGTGTTTTAAGGCCTTCTAAGCAGGCAGCCAACTAGCCTCTTCCCCAAGTGCTCCCAGATCCCTGTGCTTTCTGAGCTCTTCTGTACACTTTTTAAAGATTTGTTTTTTTGTCTATTTTGTTTCTCTCAGGCTACTTGTTGTCACTTCTTTATGGCTGCCACTGTTCCTGCTCAAGGTAGCCTCTCTCACCTTTTAATTTATTGCTTCTACTGTGTTCTCAGTTAAATGGTAACCAAACTTTCTGGAACTATATAGCAAATAATCATAGGTAGGTTGTGAGTGACGGTTCTCTTCTGAGACGAAGAGATGAGTTTTAGTACACTGGCTCGGGGTTTAGCCATCTCCAAAATGGTGAGGTGACTAAGATGAGTTCCAGACAGGTGTTACCATATACTTCACTCCAAAAGGTTACATTGAAAACGTTAATTTGTGACAGAAAATGACATCAGAACTATTTCAAATAGTTTAAAATAATTTCAGAAATTAGCTTAAAAACTACTTTTAAAAATGACATTAAAACGCTATTTCCAGGAAACATCAAATTTAGCCAGCCTAAGCCCCAAATTCCTTATTTGTTCCACTTCAAAAAAATTAAGTGACATGATTATCTGGGTTGATAAGAGAAGAATGTATGGTTAATTCAAAATTGGGTATGTTCCCACTCCTATTGCCTTAGGGGAGGGGAGTACTGCCTTAAGAATCTGGTCACACAGATACTTAAATTTATATAGATCTACATTTAGATATCTGTATTACCCTTTCCCCCCAACCTGGAATGGTTGGACCCAATTTCTTCTCTCTGTAGCCTGGACCTGGAACAAACTGGGGAGGAATAAATCACAGATAATCCACAAAGTGGACAATCAAGACCTGTTAATGTGAAAGCTCAGATTATGCTTGTTTGGTTTTTTTTTTCCCCTGAGTAGAACAAGACACCTGTTATTTCATCAGCATAAAGAACTTTCCAGTGTAGGAACTCTCTCTGCCAAGAAGCAAACATCTCACTTTGTAGACAAGACCCAGGGAAATGCCTGAAGCACCTAGTGGTTAAGTAACTTGCTCAAGGTCACACAGCTAATAAGTGTCTGAGGTAGGATTTGACTCTAGGCCTCCCTACTCCAGTACTCTATCCATTATACTTCTTAGTAGATGTAACTATTCTTTTATTTATACAACCACACACAAATACATACATATACACATACACACCTTTCCTCCACATACATAATTCACACATAGTCCCATAAGCTCAGATAATAATGCTAATTATTTTAATGTGTATGTCAATCCCTCAATAATAGTCAACCATGCTTTAGTACATTGCATCATTTGAATTATTCTACATTACTTCATAATTGGCTTCCAATAAGTTATTTCTACTTTGTTTAATGGAGAAGAACGGAATATGGGCAAAATTGAGGCAAACAGAGGTTAAGTGACTCACCCAGGGTCACAGAGCTAGCAAGTGTCTGAGGCCAAATTTGAACTCAGGTCTTCCTGGCTCCAGGTCTGGCACTCCATCCATTGGACCACGTAGGTGATTTTATTTGAAGGCTCTCTCACTTATGTTTCTATAGACTTTGAACTGATATGTCACAAGCTGCTTAAGAGAGGAGCTCATGAGAAGGGAACTATTTTATGGAAAAGTTCTTCTAAGGGTTATGCAGCTGTGAGGATGGCTTTACACAACATTGCAGAATTCCTGTTCAAAGTGCAACACATATGTGATGCAATACATCTGCTGCAAAAACCGCTGTCCCCAGGCAACTTTTATTAGAGGTTATTGGCATGAACAACAAATTCCCCCATATTACTGAAAGGCTGTAAAGGCTTGATGTGTAAGTTCTAAGAGTCTGGAGGACAGCATCTATAATTCAGAGAAGGATGTGTTACAAAGCACAATTTTGAGATCGTGGCCCACACATTTCTATTTTATGATCACAGAAACCTTTTCTCCTCTTCCTTGACAAAACAATAAAGAACTTAATAACCAGATATAGCAGGGAGGCTGGGAAAACCAAAACAAAATGTAGGACACATGCAATGATCACATAGAACCTAACTGCAAATCAGCCACAACCATCTGCTAGGTTCTGAGACAGATCTTGATGGCAGCTTCCTAATCTCAGGTATTGTCTGAAGAGGGAAAGAATCATTTGGAAAATCCAATTTGCGTTAGCATAGCGTAAGCACCCATAAAGCTGGGCTCTTGCCATTCCCTGAGGATGCATTCCCTTTGGCCTTCATCCTGAAGGGATAGAGGGAGAGGGGACCAATGGGAATGCCTCCCCAGACTGTGACAGGAGCCCTAGCTTTGTGCATGCAAATGGGATTGAAGAGAAAGGATGGGGGTGGGAAAGCTATGAGAAGAAAAACTCCAGTTTGATAAGGAAAGACAGGCACCACAGCTCAATCAGAATTTCAGAGGGGAACAGCAGACAGATTAGTTAGTCTTCAATAGTGGATTCAAGTTCAGCATTAACTGAAAGGTAAAGGAAGATAATAAAAGGGGTGGTCATTTGTCCTGGAAATTTAACACTTTGAGTTTGGAGCACGAGGTTGGCAGGTCTTGCCCTAGATATCTGATGACTTTTTTTTTTAATAGAAAAGGATGTCTGTTTTGGTGGAGAGGCAGGAAGTCTTTAACATCTTGAAAATTAATCACATCTCAAGACTT